ACCCGCAGGTTCCTCTACCCTTTCCAGTCCGGTGCTCGTTGCTTCCATGCAGCAGGAAAAAGAGGCGAGACCTCATCGCTGCAGCCTCCCTCTCTGAACGAGTGTCCACCTTCCGTGACGCGATGGCCTCCTATCCCTCCCAGACCCGCCACCTCCACCGTCTCCAACACCCTCGATTTCTTTGCGTGCCCTACGTTACCATTTCCGAATTGAGGGGGGTTCAATGGTGTCCTCACGAGGATGGGCGAGTCTTGGTGGAGATGGAGGGGGACGGGAAGCAAGGCTGGCTTCGGGTGTTGGAGTAGCCAGCTTGTTGCCCGCATGCAACAACTAATGGCATTCTGTGCCACCATCCAGGTCGGTCATTCATCCCACCACGTCTCACTTTTTGTCCATGCATACGTCTACCAAACTCTAAGCCAGGCCCGTGAGATGAGTTACCATGCGGCCGGGAACTACGGGCCACCGCCAGGCAGCGGAGGAGGAGGAAGAGGTTACGGTGGGCCCGACCGGAAACGATACCGAGGAGACGAATCCCATGGAGGCGGATATCACGGAAATCATGGTGGAGGTGGCGGGAGGTACCGCGGCGACCGGGCACGGTATAACCAAGACAGACGAGGTGGCGATCGAGGCCCCCCGGCTAAGAAACCGAAAACAAAAGAGGACGAAATCATGACGCAAATCAAAGCTTTGTTGGTGCGCGTTGGAGACTTCCACCACATAACTACGTCTCTTTCCAGCTTGGAGGAGAATGTCGAGGGTTTGGCAGGGGCATTGGGTGATGAGCTGGCTACGTTTGGAGACTTGATCGCGGACTTCGTGTTGACCGCTGCTTGCCAGCTTTCGCTCCAGACCCCCGTGTATGCCACTCTAGTGGGGCTCTTGAATGCCCGGGACGAAGACTTTGGCGCCAAGGTCGTTCAAGGGGGGGCGGTGCGATTGGACGCCATGATCCGGCAGGGCCGTTGGATTAACGCGAAGCTGGTCCTCCGCTTCCTCTGCGAGCTCGTGAACGCCCGCGTGGTGAAAGCAGAAGGCGAAGGGAGCCTGGGAGAGGTCCTGACGACACTGGCCGGGCCCCTGAAGGAGCCGGATGCTGCGGTCCCCCCGGCGAGGAAGGACTTGTACCTGTATCTGGTCGTGTCTGTGCTGCCCTGGGTGTGGGATGCTCTGGCGCAGGAGTGGCCGGACGGTCTCCCGGCCCTCTTGGAGACCACCTTCGCGTATGCAGACAGGCGAGTGCCGCTGTACTTGAAAAAGGGTGTTCGCTGTGTCTTGGACGCGAGCTTAGAGGACGAGGAGGACGGGGTGGAGGAGGCAGGAGCTAGTGGCCACCCCGCCGAGCCTGCCACGGACTCGATCCAGAGGGCCCTGAGGGTGGTCAAGACCCTGGCGGCCACTCTTGAAGAAGGTCAGGCCTCTCTGGAGATCAACGCCATCGTCAAGCCCTGGAAGGGCGTGAAGGAGGAGTTGTCTCAAGGCATTCGGCACGCGATCCCCCCCCTCACGCTGCCCGACCCCGACCCCATGGTCCTGGCGACTGGCGGCTTTCCCCTACCCCTGCACCCGTGTTTCGCCGAGTTCGACCTCTTCGATGCGGAAAGCGGAGGCCAAGCCGCCTCTGTGGCCACGCTACCCCCGATAGAGCGGTGGGTGCTGCGGGAGTGCCTGAAAGACAGCTTGGTTACTTTTCGCCCTTACGTGAACGAGGCTGGGAACAAGCGGGGCTCTTTTGCGGCAGAAGTCGAGCAGCTCTATTCAATTTCTTATCTAGCCCCGCCGGAGGTGGCCACAGAGTTCTTGGTGGCGGAAGTTCTGCTCCTTTGGCTCGTGCAGCGCCCCAGTCGCGACCTCGCCTACTTGCACCGGCTGCTTCTGCAGGTGGTTCAGACCCCCAAAGCCGCGGGATCCATGGCTCTGGGCTTGCATATACTGTTTCAAGACTACTTGGAAGTGCTCGACCATGGCGCCGTGACACAACTTGCCAACTGGTTCGGCGCCCACTTGACCAACACGCAGTTCACGTTTCCCTATTGGGACGCATGGGCCGGCCTGGTCGCTGAGCAGGAAGCAGAGGATCACCCGCAGCGGTACTTTCTGCGGCGGGCTTTGGATGTGGCGGCGCGTCAGAGCTACGTTGGGAAGGTGAAAGAGCATATCCCTGCCTCCCTCCACCCCTACGTGCCCGAAGACCCCTACTCGCTCTCTCCCTACCTGCCTCGGGCCGCGGCCGTGGAAGAAGACAACGCGGCGGACGCGGCCTCGACGCAGATCCTGAAGGTGCTTGTGCGTCATTTCCAGGCGGTTCTTCAGGGACAAATGCCGGCCGCAGAAGTGCAAGCCTGGCTTGATTCGAGCGTGGCCCCGCCAGCGGATATCGCCACTTCGGACCCGCTCTGGCGTGTGACTCTGGTCGCTCACGCCTTGTCACGGATCTCGGACGACACCGTGGCGCATTTGCCCGCGCTCTTGGAGAAGTGCTTGGGCTGGTTCCGCCAGCTGTTCGAGGCGGACGAGCACCAGCTGCGAATGGTGGAGGCCCTGGCCGAGGTATGGGCCGGGAGCCCTCAAATGCTGCTGCTGGCACTCAACGCGGTCATGCGCATGCACATGGTGCTCCCCGTGAACCTGGTGGCTTGGTTGGTGCGCCCAGAGACGGCACGCCGGTACGCCCAGGACGCATTATATCACGACCTGTTTGTGGACGCCGTCGACCGCTCGCTCGAGTCCGTGGCGAACTATGGAGAGCTGATCAGTCGAGCTTTGGGCCCTCATCCGCCGGCGACAGGTCAGTCGGAGGAAGCGAGGGCAAGGCAATGCGCCGGAGAGGAGACGGTGGAGCACGGGATAGTGGCAGTAGAGAACGCCCAGGACCTTCTGTTGGAGCTTGTCGAGGGCTTGAGCAAGGTGCTGGGGGAAGGGCTAGCGTCTTCTGCTGAACAAGCCAGTGAATGGGTTCGAGCAGGTTTGGCATATCTGCGAGGAACGTTGCAAATATATTTGCAGCTGGAAGAGAAAGGGTTAAATCGGGTCATCCCAGGGACAGAGCCTGTGTTCGATCTGAGCAAGGTGGAGGAGTCCATAGGGCCTCTCGAGTCCTTACACCCAGCTCTTCATGGCGTGATGCTCGACGTTCGACGATATATCGATGATCGTCAGGTTTTCGGGGGGGTCCACGCCCATGGGCAGGTCTTCTCGGACGAGGAGTAGGTGCCTAGGGGAGGAACAATATGAGAAGAGCTTCAGGTTAGCAATATAAGGCGGAAGTGGATGAGAGTCGTCCACAAAGAATAAAAGCAATCACTAACAAGTGTATTGGAGGTATATTTGTATTGAAGATGTTTAAATGCTCTCACTACTGTTTCCCGTTCATGAGAAGTATTTTCCCTTTTCGCCCGTGGACGGATCGATTTCTTGGAACGGTCTGTGGGGGCGCGGCCGTCGCGGATGCGATTGATCCCACCCTGGACGACGAGACTTTTGGTCGCTTTTGGAATCTGCAGCATCTCGGATGTCGAAGAAGCCACTCGGGACCTGACTTAGGCACTTTGATGCGTATGTAGTGTGCCGGGTTGAGACAGGATTTCCGGGTCTACTCACTCCTTCTCCCTCCTCTCCTCTCTCCCCCTTAGACAAGCATGACGCTGGGGACAGGCCTCGTCGGCGCTTCCTTTGGCATCTTTGTGAAGCTGGCCAGCAACAGCATGCGCAAAATACCACTTCGACGAGGTGCGTAGTCGCGATTTGCATATCTGAAATGTGATTGAAGACCCCTTTAGTGTGCCTGAGCGAAGGTAGTCACGTGGCGTTCGGCTTGATGCGATCAACATGATTAACGAGTGCCGCCAAAGAAGCTTTGTGCGGCCGCGCAACAGTCAATGCATGTTTTCCTCAAGTGTCTATCAGTGTGACTACTGGATATTCTGTAGTAGCTGGCCCAAGTCCGCTGCGTAACGACAATAGGTGTCACACCTGCCCGGTATTTCGTATCTGTGAGAGCTCATCGTACCAGCCGCCATCTTTCCGGAAACGATTTATCACAGAGCCTTGGGATTATCCCATCTTCATGCTTGTGGGGGCCTGGGTTGGTTACAAGTACGTGGCGCTGGAAGAAAGTCTGAGGGAGCGGGTGAACGAGAAGCGCGCCATTTTAGACAAGGAACCGGTGCACCTGGGCGGCGTTCTGACAACGATAAAGGAGGCAGCCGAGTGAAATCCTGTCACACTGCCTGCCCTTGGCGACCGCATTGAGGCCTTCAAACGAAGAAAGTGTCTTGGCTATCTTGGAGTTTTGTTAGGAGTTTTGGCCTTACTTTTTCTTTTTCTTTTCTCCTTCTTGCTTCCTTTTCCTGCCTGAAGGCTTGATGGTATCTTGAGTGCTCTCGACACGGATTCGTCGCCTTATCTCGGCTCTCTTAAGTGAGGCACCCCTCTCGAAAGAACAGCCAGTCAAAATGAAAGCAAAAGCAATAGCCCCGAAAAGGACCTTAACGAAGAGCAGACAGCTTAGGCGCAGCTTGAATCTCTCAGAGGTAAAAGGATGGTGTGCCGGGCACGAGGCCCAACCGGGCACTCACACGACGTGTGTTTTGGGAGGGGGGGGGATCGTGCATCAAAATGCAGTCCTCGCTCGGGACAGAGGAGAGAGTATGGGGGGGGATATGGCAAGGAAGGAGCAGAGAGATCGAGATAGGAGGAAGGAGGGGGAAACAACACTCTGTGGCGTGAGGTGGCGCTGTGCTTACCTTGGCAGCAACCGGTCGGACGGATGGGAAGCGGGGTGATGCGTCTCCCAATCCGCGGCGTGGCACGTACAACTCATACCTATCTGATGTGCATCGCCCGAGACAACTTCTGCTCTCCCATCCCTCCCATAGAAGGTCCTTCCTTCTTTTTCCCCCCCCCTGCACCTGCAAACACGTTCCAGAACCGAATCGTCTCGTCCGGCGCCGCCGATACCACCGAGGCCCCGTCGGGCGACTGGGCCAGATGGAGGACTCGGGAGGTGTGTCCGGTGAGCTCCTTGAGCTTGACCATGCTGGGGTACTTCCACAGGCAGAGCTGGTTCTCCGAAAAGCCGTGGGAGGAAAGCAGCTCCTTCTCGTGCTTGCTCCAGAGCAAGGAGCAAACCTGGGAGCCCGTGTCGATCGAGTTGAGGAGGGCGCCGTTCGCGCCGTTCCAAAACTTGATGCATCGGTCCGCAGTCCCGCCCCCTGTTGCCAAAATATTTCGCTCAAAAGGGCACCAAGCCAGGGCTTTGACAGCCGCCTGGTGCTCCGCGAGTCGGTGGCGGGGCGAAAACGTCTGAGAGCGACCCCCGATGCCCGAGGTCGAGGCCTGGTCCCACAGACACAGGAGGTTATCGTTTCCACCCGAGGCCAAAAGAGAGCCGTCCGGCGACCAGGAGAGGCCACAGACCTCCTGCTCGTGGCCGAGCAGGGTGGCCACATGGTGGTTCTGCACGCGCACGTCGTGGTGGACGATGGTCGCATCCCGGGAGCCGGAGGAGAGGATGTGTCTTTTCCATGCCAGGGCGCTCACGCGGGCGGAGTGCCCGTTCATCGACCGAACCTGCTTTTGCGCTGCTACGTCCCAAAGCTGGGTCTGCGCCGAGGCTGTTCCAATGGCGAGGTGCGAGCCCGTATCCTGGATCCAGGAGACACTTGTGATGTAGTCGTCCGCGTCAGGTACGGACATCAGCTCGGTGATATCCCCCGTGGCGGCGTTCCACAAATACAGCGTCTGAGTCAGGGCAATGGCTAGGACGTTGGAGGCACCCCAGTCCATGATGTTCAGATAGTAATCGTCCAGCAGGTCTGGGGCGTCCAGGATCCGTTCGGGCGCGGAGGGGATATGCCGGTAGCTGCGAAGGCTGCTGGGCGCAGTGCCCTTGTTCTGAGTGTAGAGTACTTGTAAGTGGTTCTGGAAACCCTCCTTTGGTAAGGGTGCCTTGTTTCGGAAGGCCAGGACGCGGTGCTCTTTTTCCCCGTCCAAAAGCTGTGCCTCCAGGGCTTGATGGTACTCCTTCTTCTGCACCATTGACGCCTCCTGCTTGGAAACCTTCTCCATGCCGTCCTCCCCCATGGCCCTGTCCTCGACCAAGGAGGCCGAGTCGTCCTTCTTGTCGTCGTCGCCCTGTGGGTTTGGGTTCTCCTTGGAGAGCGCGTAGTGCGCCTTGTCCATGTGCATACCCGAACGGTTGGGGATAAACCGGTCGTGGCTGCCTGTCTTGTCACCGTCCAAGCCCGCGCCGGCCGCAGAGCCAAGCTTTTGTAGCTTCTTACGCTCCCATCGCGGCATGACCTTCGATTCAAACGGCTGGTCGAGCGACATGAGACTTTCCATCTCCACAATGTCAGTTGCCCGGGTGGGGGCGCCGAAAGATTGATGGTTGGTGGCAAAAACATTGTGGTTCTTGATGGCGCTCATATCTGAAGTGTGACTTAAAGTCTGTCTTGTGGTGTCGTTGAGAATGTGCTTGTATGAGTGAAGCATGAAAGATTGGATGGCCTTCAGCACAAGGACTTGCTGGTTCGAAATAATTTCACGTCCTCAGATCCTAACACAGCCTAATTCGTGCAAATTTATTCAAGGCAGCTTATGAATAATTAAAATAAAGAGATGTTAGATGACCATGCCTGAAAAGGTAACGACCGCCGAAATTACTCTGCAGGGTGATTTAACTGCTGGTTGCTTCCACGTATTCCCTGCACTGCAACGATCCACATACTTTTTCGACACGGCAGCAAAGCGACATGATTTTAGCAAGTATGACACAATCGGGATATGCAAACACTAAGATTAGAAGAAATCCTGGAGGATTCGTTTGGTGCAATAAGGGTCAGCTCGGAGCTGGTCGTTTTTTCTCCAGAGGTCAGAACTTCAGTCCGAGGCGACGATCGACCAAGGGAATTCGAATGCCTCTCGGACCCGTCAGTCCTTCAATTTACGCCTTCATGAAATCAGAGGTGTAAAGGCGTAACCAAAATCTGTGAAATTGGCATCTTGCGACATCTTTGTGATCCTTGACCGTCTTGCCGACTTGGAGGCGTTTCGCTTCAGGAACGCGACATCAGTGGATGGGCCCTTGCCTCACTTTCACGACGCTATTTAAATCCATGAGAAAACTCACGGTATATCATCTCTCTTGACTTTGAGCTTTAATGGCAAATGTTGGATGCCAGGTGTGTGTTTTCTGGATAGGAAGATCATCCCTCATGGTTGGTGCTGAGGAAGAGAGGAAATCCCTTTCATCCTCATACATTTGGAAAGGGGGGGGGGGGC